GTACTAGTCAGTATGAATTCTTATCCATCCTATGTTGATCATTTATCTTCAAATATTTGGAAAATGCCAAATATAACTGAATCTGTATAGGGGCAGGATATAAAATCTGTAACTTTATTCTATATAAATGATTTTTCTCTTACTCTGCCAAAAATTGAGGTTAAATTCACCTTATCAAAGGTCTTGGCATTATTTCTTGGGTAGATTGGTTGGAATTTTTATCCACAGTGATGATAAATTGAAAGATTATTTTAGACAGTGTTAACCTCACTTAAAAGAATCAGTGGGATTTATTTATAAAAATAAAAAGCAGAATAGTGGAAGTTTGTCTGATATGCTAGCAATATTCCACCATTGTAAATAACTGATTTGAAAACCTTGAGTAAGTTGGTTTATAATTTTATTATGCTTTTGTTTGCATAGTATCTTTAGTTAGATAATTACAAGGTTTTAACTCTCATCTTTCTGTTGTTTGAAAGAAATGACGTACTTAATAAATGGCATAAATGCTAATGAAAAGAAGGTAGAACGGATTCATAGCAAGTACATTTTATGTCAAACAAAAGATAACAAATAATGCATTCAAAGTAAGTGTTTGTACATGCAAAATTGCTTATAGGAGAATTGTCCACTCTTGTAGAAAAGAATGGTTCTTTTCAGGTGTTCAAAGTATAGATTTGAGTGAGAAAAGTGTCTTTTCCCTATTCAAGTGAATCATTGTTATTCTAAAAAAATTGTTTGTGCAATATTCATTTGCAACAAAAAGAATTATTCTTACAATCTAAATTGTTTTAGCTTTAAATAACACACAAAGGATTGGTAAGCCATAAAAAACAAAACAGTTCTTATTCAAGTAGTCAGAATAGTTTAGTATGTATGTGTGAAGTGATTCATGTAAAGGGAAGAAAGGTAAAGGAAGTGTAATTTTTTTTTTTCTCAATAAGGAGTAGTAGTGAAATTGACTTACTATGGAACTGCCAAAGTTCAAAGTTTATTCTTTTTTACATCAGAGATTAATGGAGAGGTGATATCATTAGATTCTTTGACATTTATACTTTGTAGTTGTAACTGTTGAGAATTTTTTTTAACTGTGGTCAGTTTTTTTTCAATTTGAAAGGGTCTTCGGGAATTATGGAGTATAATTATATTGATCAGTATATCAAATGAAACATCATGTGACCTGTTCTCTCTTACATCTGAATTTAGCAATGGTTGTATTTAAGATCAAAGCAAATTAGGCATTACATTTAGGTTGAAAGATCAGGAGCCAAATGATGTGATTGGTTTATTTGAATGATTGTTTCTTTATTTCTTTATTTTTTTTTGGTTAATTTGAATTTAAAAGGCTTTAATTATAAACTGATTGATGTATTTACAAAACTGTGATACCCCAATTGTCACTTTCCCATTTTTAAAATGAAATATTTTGGTCTTAACCTCAAAAAAAAGAATGACATACATGGGAGGAGACTGAAAATTTCTTGACATAAACCACCTGTCAAAATCTGACCAAAAGATCAAACTTTTTTTTGTTTTATTTCTTTAAGGTTTCTTATTTGAGCTGGGGACTTTTTGGCATCCTCTCATATTTTAGTTCACTCTCTGAACCTTTTCAAGGTTGGGTTCAAATTTGTCCAAATTTCAGGTTGACAAATATGCATTAGTATAATTATGTTAGATAATCATAGAATGGTCCTTACAAAGACAAGTGATGGGGTAATTATTTAAATATTTCTTTAAATCTTTTTGTAGAAAGAGCAATTTATATAATATTGATATTTTACAAATGCTTCACTTCAGTAGTTGATAGATTTCATAAAAATGCAAAGATTTTATGCTTACAGCCATATCATGTTGGAACATTGGTTCCTGTATGATCACCAAGGTTAAGCAGTACTGAGCTTGGTCAGTACCTAGATGGTGACTACTTGGGATTACCAGGTGCTGTATACTTGAATGTGCAGAAGTGTGAATTGGAGAGCTAATTCCCATTGAGTTTGTTACTGTGCAAATTCTCTTGTGAACGGTCTGAATCCACTTCTTCTCCCTCAAGCTATGAGTTAATATTGGCAAGACTTGTATCACTAAACCATTATTATCTCAAAAACAAAAAACAAAAATTCTTACAATCTAAAAATATTTTCTGGCTTTAAATAACCTGCAAGCTGTAGAAAACAAATCAACCAAAAAAAAAACAAATTTAAATTCATACACTATAATTTGAAACACTATCACTTTGGAGGTGGGGTTAAATATAATAATGGGATTTTGTGTTGTGTATCTTATGCTAAAGTAAAAAAAATTTTTTTTTTTTTTTACCAAATATTTACAAAATATCTACCTGTATTTTTTTTTTTTTTTTTTTTTTTTTTCAAATGTATGCCCAAATTTTCATTGACATATTATCAGGGGAATGTTGCCATTTGGAACTTTGCATCTAGCAAAACTTAATGAATTATGTTAGTATAAGAAAAAAAAAGTAAAAAAAAATTTTTTTTTTTTTTTTTTTTTTTTTTTTTAACCAAAAATTAGAAAGTATTGCTTTCGTTCTTCAATTATTATTTTGAATATTTAAAAATGATTTTTAAAAAAATTCTGTTACTCTTGACTAGCAAATGTGGCAAATTCTTTTTAATCTGTGCACTCATCTACAAAGAAATGTAAATATTTTAAATGTCAAAGTTTCAATATAATGTAAGGATAATATTGTAACCTACAACTAGTGATATAGTTGTGGCATAATGTCATTTATTAGTCAGAACTGTTCACCTTGTAACTGATTTATATATTAGAATTATCAACAATGGGTTGTGAGAAACTTTAAATATTGATCATTATTTTTTGAATTGACTCTTACTAGGTTGATATGACTGTTCGTTAAGGTAATCATCTTAAACTAGATGAACCACATCTTTATGAATTACTTCAGTTCTGTGAAACAGTTGTGGATTGACATATGTAAAATTGTTGTGATGAATTTGATGGTACATTAAGTTTTCCTTGTATAAATCTTTACTACAAATATCTCTACCTAATAAATAAAAGAAGTTTTTACTGCAAAGCTATGTATGCAAATATATGCCTGAAATTGATATTCAGCTAGTAAGAAAGAATTTAGTAAAGCCAGTAGTTGCTCTCAAAGCCAATAAGCGTTTAATTTACTTCCTTGTGCTTAGAAATTGTCATGTCTCCTTGCTAAAAGATCACTATTCCTTAAATCATTTATATTATTTACATTGTTTGGACTGTTGTCTTCATCTTTTTGCCATATTCATGACATTTTGGCTGTTGTACATTCTAGCCTTCTTCAGGTGATTGGAATTTTTTCAAACTAAACCCTTTATTTTGTCTACTGGGTAGATTGTTCTAGTTCCACATGCCATGCCTCTTCTGGATGTCTTGGTCATGTCCCAATAACTCAAAGTTTTTGTTCACCACTGCAGTAGTCAAGTATTGAATTCACAACAGTTTGGGTCAAGTCACTGGATCCAACCAATGCTTTTATCCACTAGGCCATGTGTCCTTTGCGAATAAAAACTTGGAGAGTTGAGTTAAAGGGAGATAACTGAGACATCCAGAAGAGGCATGGTATGTGGAACTAGAACCATCTACCCTGGTGGATGAAATAAAGGGTTCAATTCAAAATTCTAATCACCTGAAGAAGGCCTGGGCATAGAACAGCTGAAATGTCATGAATATGGAAAAAAAGATGAGGACAACAGCCTAAAGAATGTAAATAGTGTAAATAATTACAATACCTCATCTCAGAAATATAGACAGATCTTTAAATAATTTATGAATGGAACCTCATAAAGTCTTGTTAAAATTGCTCTATAACCTTATTAACTGTTGTCTTTCTCATATCATACTAAGATATTGTTTAATTTTATTTACCTTAGCATAACAGAAAAACAAATGTTATAAAGTGACAACAGCTTTTTATAATTATTTACACTATTTACAATTGTACTATTGTCCTCATTCTTGTTATTGTTATCACGTTTTGGCCGTTGTGCCCTCTAACGATCATCAGGTGTATATAGTCTGAATGTAAATAATAACTCCTGAAATTCAGACAGAAATTAGCTTTTTATGAGATGGATTTCAAACAATCTTGTGCAATGATTAGTATTGTAAAATGATCACAAACATAAGGCCTAGAAAACTATTGTTTTATAATTGAGTCCTTATTAAATAATAACTCAATTATTAATATTGCAAGTAATTTTATTCCAAACAACCCAATATTTGCTATTTTCACTGAACTGTAATTTGTTCAATGTTATATTTGTTCATATTGACAGAATCAGTCTAACAAACTTTGAAAAAGAGTGGACAATGTTTGAATTTTGACTGAACTCTGTTCAGGAATATTACAGAATTCACCCATTAATTCTAATATTAGCACATAATAAATTATTCATAAAGATGCATTTCACTATTGGCTGTACACATCACTTAAATGGTGATGGTATTGTATTCGTATCATATGAATATTTGTTTATTTTATTTAGTCAGATCACACAAACAATACGTATTGTATTCTTGTATAGTAAAATTAGCTAATCCCAAGCATGATTGATTAGTTTTAATTCCATGATCGTTTTTCCCCTTAAAATTATGCATTTATGTTGAAAATTTACATGTAATGATTTTTGTAATACTGTAAAGTCACTGTATTAATTCATTGTAACATTATTTTATACAAATTGAGCTTAGGTATTTTTTCTTTAGCTCATAAATGATTTTCTGTTATTGAATTTTTCATTGGTTTCAATTTTGTTTTCCTTATAATGCCTATTTTTTATTGTGATTTTTTTTTTTTTTTTTTTTTTTTTCCTTATAAGTCTTTCTGAAATGCATCTGTCGTTTAATGACATAAATTTGTGTGTAAAAGAAATACACTGTTTTACTGTCTTTTTATTCTATTAAGTTTTCATAAACCACAAAAATACTTGCAGGAAAAAAAAGCTTTTGACTTGATTATTTTTGTTTTACAGAAGCTGGAAAAAGAATCTCCAGACCTGGCGTCATCCCCACAAACTTTTATGTGAGTTGAAAAAAAACAAAAATTTATACTATCAATTTAGTTTTTAGTCCTGTTTTTAAATTAGTTCTGTACTTCCCTTTCATTAGTAATTATCTTGATATGAATTTGAATACTTTTAACATTAACTTCAATGTTATCTTTAGGAAAAATTCACACTTTATGAATTTTTGGTTAAACACTGGAAATCCTTATAGTAAAATAAATTTACAACTCTGAGGTACTTGTTGCTGAGTAATCCTGGGTTTGTAAGATAATTCTATTCTTATTCCTAAAATAATAAACAAAATTCTTCTGAAGTTTCTTCTTAGTTATTATAAAAGTCAGAATCTTTTGACATAAATCTGTCACTAAAATATAAATATTGTTAATGTTTACATTTAAGAAGTACAATGAATGGGCAATGTGTGTGCACTTTCTTGATTTGTATACAGAGTAACTAGGAGACATTACAAACTACATTACATCAACCAATGTTGCTCATCTTGAACAACTGTTTAGTAGTTTATGGATTTCAGATGCCATACAATTGATTATTTCCTCTTCTGTATTCCCCGGCGTTTATGGACAACATACTTGAATAGGAGATACTTTTTTTTCTTTTTCTTTTTCTTTTTTCAAAATGACCAAGCAAAGACAAATATATTTGTAGGCTTTTTAAAATATGCCTTGATCTAGGCTATAAGAGTTAGCATACAGGTAGGATTTTGGAAGTATTTACAATACCCAACAATTATCAATATTTATTTATGGGGAGAATAGACTCCATCAGTTGGCAAGTTTTCATTGATTGCGATCAAAATGGAACCATCTGGTTTTGATGGTGAGGTAAGGAAGAAATCAGTAGAATTGTTCTTGGCTGTAAACAGAATGTGCCATGTAGAGAGGTAGTTGCTTTATGCTTAAGATGACATTAAGTTTATTTTCTTCAACTTGTTTACTCTTCCCTCTACCAACGACTGAAATTCTGCTAGACTTCCTATTATACTCATCACTGATCTACATTTGAAATATTCTCCCTTCTGTTGACATTTGTATGTGATACATTCATAAAATGATTCTCTTTCAATAATATAAATAAATGTAAATTTATTTTACCTAAACTTGTGATAATCACATTAAAAAAAAAAAAAATTAAAATGGATGTGGTTATACTTGAATTTTTTTTTTTTTTTTTTTTATTTTCTCTTTTGTTATGTTGCTATGACTACATATGAGCATAAACAAGGGGTGCTGGGAATTTTAGATTATTATTTTTTTTTTCTTTCTTTTATATCTAGCTAAATTCATTTGGTCTTTTTCTTTCCATCACTTTTGTTAGTAGGTATCCCACACTGTGCTAGCAGATCTAATATCACTGTGGGATAGCTACTAACAAAAATGATGAAAAGAAAAAGACTCTAAATGAATTCAGATAGATTAAAAAAAAAAAAAAAAATTTTAATTCTAAAATTCCCAACATTTCCTCTTTTTATAATTTCTTATTTTAAAATTCCCTTTGGAAAAGTTGCATTGCTGTACGTACCATGCGATCTATCTTTGATGTTTATTTTGTCCCCATGAATATTGTTATCTTCTGTCTGAAATTTTGGGATGAGGAGTTATCATCATGCTATTTGCATGCAGATTATTGTCCTCGTCTTTATCGTGATCTTTTGGCCATTGTGCCTTTTGGTCTTCATCAGGTGTATGTCGGTCCTACAGGGAACTTCAAACTGAAACTGGCCCAGGCATTGATCTCAGTCTCTGCACTGGAGAATGGAAACCTGGTACACAATAACTGAGCAGTACTAAAAATAAGAAATAGACAAGATATCCTTAAACATGGGCAGTGGAGTGAGAACAATCTAACCCCATAGATTAAATAAAGGGTTCAGTTCAAAATTCCCTGTAAGTTACATGGCTCAACATACATCTGATGAAGGCTGGAGGACACAGTGGTTGAAACATCCTCCTTTTTTCTTATGTGATAAAATAAAGAACAAATAGGAAACATATATCAGTCTAACACTTTCACTTTTATTAAAGCTTTGTCACACACACACACACACACACACACACATTTTTATTACCTGTTTAATATTCACTATCCCTCCTCCTGAGGACACTGATATGCTTAAAAATGGTAAAGGCATTTTCAAATTAGCAAGACCTTAGCTGATGAACCTATCCTGATATCTAATAGCAACTTCATCTTTTCTTTATCCTTACTATAGAATTTATTGAAAATTCATGATTATTATCATTTGTTTTTTTATTTATTGTTTATATATATATATATATATATATATATATATATATATATATATTTTTTTTTTTTTTTTTTACATACTGCTACTAAAACTCACCCCTTTTTGGAGATAAGAAATGTATACAATATCAAGTTAAATAGTTATTTAATATATTGATATTGTAGGCATGAGCTTCAAATTGTTTGGCTTGGTTGGCATTTGACCTATTATAGCTAGAAATTTTTTTTTTTTTTTTTTTTTTTTTTTTTAAGCTAGTTAAAAGACAGTCTTGCTCTCTCTGTAAAACCATGCTCAGTATCACATGAACTATAATGAGTATTTCCACTTTCTAATCCTGTCAGTTTGTCAAGCTTAAAATAGGTCTCCCAAACTGCCCTAGTTTCAGTGTGTTAAAATAGAGAAATTTCCTTCCATTTCAACTGCTGATGTTTGTTTGTATTTTTTGTTTTAGCCTATTTTGATAATTAGTATGTAACATTTAATCTTTTCACTTTATAAAAATACTTTCTTGTATGTAATGATTAGTTTTTATTCCATGTCTCTTGAAATTATGTTACTATTTCAATGACGGTGCATTTTTGAAGTTGACAATTTCATAGTGGTGTTTTTATAAATATATATATATATATATATATATATATATATATATATATATATATATATATATATATATATATATATATATATATATATATATATATATAATGAATAATTTTAGAGGGTAAATTATGACAAAGTAGAAAAAGTTTTTGTGTTATGGGTTTCATCTTTTTAGGACTTTATCAGACTAAATTTATGTTTGTGCTGATGTGACTACACATATGCACAAAGGAAGGGGAGACACTGAGAATTTACTCTTTTATCAGTAATAATTGCCACAAGGAATATATAGAAAGAAACCTCAAGAAATTTAAATAAGATTATATGAACACGAAAGGGATCATTTACAAAATGCATTAAATCCATTAGTTGCTCAAGACTGGCCACAATTTTAATTTAAAAAAAATTCAACTCCAATTAAAAGAGACAATAATTTACTTTTACTAAGACGAAAATGTTTAGAAAGTGCTTTAATCGCTAGATCATCCACAGGAAATTTGTGTCCAGTTTCTTACAATGTTCCACTATTTCTGACAGATCTTCTATTATCACAAAATGGGATATTTGATAACAAATTTGAAAAGAATCTGAATGAAATAGACTAGATTATATACCCAGTACATATATTCAATAAAAATATATATATATAAAATAAATTAAAATGGTAGTCCATAAGGAATTTCCAAGTGGATAAAGATCCAAGGAGAGCTCTGTCAGAGACAGCAAAACTATTAGTTAATGAATATCAAACACTTGAGATACCATAGGTAATAATCTTTATTTCATGAACGCTCTAAAAATAGCCTTCAATCTTCCAGACTTGCAAATCAGATTTGGTAGATTGAAGGCTATTTTTAGAGCTGTCATCAAATAAAGATTATTACCTATGGTATTTTAAGTGTTTGAGATATATAAAAATTTTAGATTCCCAGCATTTCTCACTCATGTACATGTTACATCAATGTAATCATCACTCTAGTTCACTGAAGTCCTAAAGGATGAAATGCATCACATGAGAACTTTTTACCACTTTATCATACTTACAATAAAATACCATAGAAATTCAACATTTAAAAAAAAAAAAGAAAAGAAAATGCACTTTCTTGTGTAATCTTTAATATGGTTTGCAATATCTGCATCTATATAACTTGAGATGCATATGAATCAAAAAGAGGGTATACTGCATTGATTTTGAGTAAAACCTTTGGGTCCAACACATCAAAACTTGTATTGCTAAGTAAATGAACATTGCAGGCTGAATTTCAATTTAAATCAGACTTCATCAAATATTTAAATCTTTGTTCATAATGAAGCTTTTTAAAATTATATAAGTACTTATTCATTGTATTTTATCCAAATTGTCAAGATTGAATCACTTTGGCCTTTATTAAAAATATTTGACAGAATTCATATTATAAAAAAGAAAAAAATAACATAAACTGTATATATTCTTAGTTCTTTAAATTTTGCACTCACATTTTGTTTGTAAAAAATTAAAATAACTTTTTCAAGAAAGTATCCAGTTTTCCTTTTTAATGGTCATTCATTTCATTTGCATTTAAGGCTGGCAGTATTTTCTCTAATTCTTGGTATTTGTGGATTAAATTGAAAATTTATTTATCGATAAATTTTATAATGAAAAAAAAAGGAACTCTTTTCAGGAAACAAATTTTTCATTTTTTATAGTCTTTAATTTTTGAGAAGTTAAAAATTGCGTATTTTCATAATTTTCCAAAATTAGATACCTGTATGAGAAAAAGTATTCCTATTAGAGCAGAACTCATCCTAAAATTAGTAAAATTTTAAAGTTTCAGGCATGTCTTTCCAATAAATACTTTTTATTACAAGTTCAGGATGGTATACTTTTGACCTGTTTTTGTTCTACTGTCAAAAATTTAGCTTCATCTCTTAGGCTATGAATCATAGCAAGAAGTTGCAAGACATTAACTGTTGAAATTAAACTTGTATAAACAGTTAAATGTGTCCTTTTATGTCATGTCTTAAATATTTCATTTTTGAGAAATATTTAAGCTGATCTGATATAATAATTATTGATTACGTTCATATTATCTATCTTTTACTGCAAGACTACCTATACTACATTACATTTATAATGATTTTTAACTCGTTTGAAGACTTAAGTTATCCACT